ATAAGTATATATATATATATATATATATATATATAGAGAGAGAGAGAGAAAGATTGTAGTCCAATTGCTCTATCCACCAATATGGAATTCAGGGACCACAGCCGTATAATTCCAACCAGGAGTAGTGGAACCTCGGCTTTCTGGTTGGGGCCTGGCCAGTAGTGATGACAAATCATGTAAAATTCCACCCACAGTACATGAATTAAGTTATGGGTGAAGAACATACTTGTTCTGGATGTAGTGTGGTTCCTCTACTAGGGTGCCAATCTTCTTTTGACCCACCCATGATCTATGCAGTCACTTTCTGTATAGATAATGCCCTCACTGGGCCCTCCAACTTATCAATGTGGGATTCTAGCTGTAAGTATGAGTGGAGGTAACTATGTTTTGGAAGTTAACATTTTCTTAAATCGAAAATGTATTTCCAGTAATACTTACCTCCTTTCAAACATGGAGAATGTCATGAGACAAATATTGCCAAGGGCAATTATGTGGGGTATAAAAGACTGGAGCAAGCGAGAAAAAATCGGACCAATGCTTATATGGGCAAAGGAAGAAACCCTGTCAGTCAAGTAATAGCTATAAGTGTGAGAAGAAGTAAGTATTTTTGGAAATACATTTTCGATGTAAGAAAACATTAACTTTATTGTGCAAAAGATTCTGTTCTGTGAGTTTACATTTTCTGTAGTGACTTGAATGTTGAACCTGTGTTACAGGATTTTATTATGCCCAAAGGTTCCATGCTGTTAGGTCTCAAGACCTGTGATGTACAAGTATATCTAGTGAGTTACCATAACATACAATTCAAGAACAACAAAGGACATGTTGATCTATCTTGGCCATTCAATCCACTACACTAAACTAAATTTTAAAAAAATCAAAGCCAGCCCTTATCACTCACATACTTATCGAGACTTGCCTTAAATATGCCACATTCACAATATATGAAGGCAACCAATTACAAAGGCCAACTACCCTGTTATAAAAATAAAATTGTTTTAGTTGAAGATGACTCCTACCCTGCCAAAATTTATATTTGGGTCCTGCCATTCTCACTATTATGTAGGAAAAAGATGCTGCATCAAAACTATCAATTCCCTTTGAAATTTTAAAAACCTCAATCAGATCCCTTCTAACTCTTCCTTTTTTTAAGAGAAAAAGTTTCAGAGATCTCAACCTGTTTTTCAGGGTGCATACACATCCTTGAAAGTCCTTTAAATTAAGAATGGAATTTCAAGTGCTTGAAAAGGGGCATTTTTTTTTGCAAAAGTACTTGAAAATATTATAATAGCAGAATATATTGATATATCTAACTTTACTGCATGTTGCGGAGTTGAGTGCAATAAATAAAGTCTTTTTTTTCTTTTTAGTCTACATTCATATGTTGAACAAATAAATAGGAATTTTATAAAAATTTCCATGAAATATGATT